TTGAGAAGCTGTATTTTCAAGACGGACAATCGTCACAAAAAATACAAACTCGTCAATTCTCTCCAAGGTAAGAATATTTAATCAAACTGCGGTTACTACTTCGTCTTCGCTTTATATTTTTTAGTTAATTTGTCACTTATGTAAAACTCGCGTCATCAAATATTTCACTTTGAAGCATTACGTTATAGCCCCCTAAACGATCAATCATAATTGTACAATATTGTATAGGAAATACACGAATAATCTAAACTTCAATGTAAAATCAAAATTATCAATAATATTATGCAATATAAAATATTATATAATAACATTGACCGTGTAGGGGGGCGCTTGTCTTATGACGCGTCCCTGCCTGCCCGTTGTATCGGACTCGTAAGTAGCGAACTATTTTCCGTTATAACTCGAAAACTAAGCTTCGGACAAAATTTTGCAAAAGGAAAAATCGTCTTAGAATTCGTTCAAGAATATGACATTTCAAGGACATCAGGTTATTTCGAATCACCCTGTATATATACATATATATATACATACAGGGTGTCCCAGACCTACCGTCAAACCTCTTCAGGGTAGATTCCTGATGTGATTCTGAGCCGAAAGTTCCTCTTGCAAAATGTCAAGGGTGTCCTAGTTTTTGAGTTATAATCGGTTACAGATCACCAATAAATGCGGTGAATTTTCGCGCGCTCAGAGACGTCACACATCGAAGAAACCCGCGCGCGTGTCTTGTATAACAATTTATTTAACGCGTTTTTCGTAATTATTTACTGTTCACTGTTCACTGTTGCACTTAGTCCTCCACAGAAAGGGTAGGGTCAGGAAATTTCGCCGGTCAGTTCACACGGTCACACACAGCGTATCTTGCTTTTAACACGCGACGCGTTTCGCGCACGTGTGTAGCAAGGTTACCGTTGCGTCACTTTTTGACACTTTTCACTTAACAAACTGATCACTGATGACTTACCGAATTGTACGAAATTACGATACACACGCGGAAGCCGTCAAGCACGACACAAGTGCAGAACTGTCAAGCACTAGCGTGAAGCGCAACGCGCTAGTGTGACAGAAAATCAATACGAGCGTTCAGCAATGACATTGAGATGTCTATCAGGATTTAAACGGCCCGTTCCTCGCGCGCGATGCAACAGTCGCAAAATGACATGTAGATTGATTTGTCTCCGCCCCGGAAAACGAGCGTTATATTTTCGCGCGGTAAGGAGACAGTTCTGACCACACTCTCCGTAAATAATTAAAATATCACAGTACTCTACTGCAGTGTACTTCATATTTTACAAACGTTTTATTGCATTATCGTTAAAAAGTGGGAATGCGAACAAATGATATACTAAATAAAAAAGAATAATGTTATTTAGTACATCATTTATTCGCATACTCACGCCGTACTTCACTCTAATGTCATAAAACGTTTATGAAATATGGAGTACACTGCAGCAGAATATTATGACATTTTAATTAAAAATTAAACTAATTATAAATATTGTAAATATTAATTGTAAATATTAATGCATGTTATACTGTTCTAATACTTATAATAATTAATGTAAAATAAATATTGTAAATTTTTAAAAATAAATAATTAATATTAATAATAATTAATTAATATCTACTAATTTATAGAAATAAATAAATTAAAATTAATGAAAAATAATTTAATTTTTTAATAAAAATAAAAGTTTTACTTTGTTTTATTTAATTTTTATTATTAAGAAACATCGTATCGATTGCTCCGTATCGATTGCTCCGTATCGACGCGATAAGACATACTTTGTATCGCTCGTATTGATTTTCTGTCACACTAGCGCGTTGCGCTTCACGCTAGTGCTTGACAGTTCTGCACTTGTGTCGTGCTTGACGGCTTCCGCGTGCGTATCGTAATTTCGTACAATTCGGTAAGTCATCAGTGATCAGTTTGTTAAGTGAAAAGTTTCAAAAAGTGACGCGATGGTAACCTTGCTACACACGTGCGCGAAAACGCGTCGCGTGTTAAAAGCAAGATACGCTGTGTGTGACCGTGTAAACTGACCGGCGAAATTTCCTGACCCTACCCTTTCTGTGGAGGACTAAGTGCAACAGTGCAACAGTGCAACAGTGAACAGTGAACAGTGAACAGTGAATAATTACGAGAAACGCGTTAAATAAATTGTTATACAAGACACGCGCGCGGGGTTCTTCGATGTGTGACATCCCTGAACGCGCGAAAATTCACCGCATTTATTGGTGATCTGTAACCGGTTATAACTTAAAAACTAGGACACCCTCGACATTTTGCAAGAGGAACTTTCGGCTCAGAATCACATCAGGAATCTACCCTGAAGAGGTTTGACGGTAGGTCTGGGACACCCTGTATATTCTTTATACAGGGTAACTCACAACTAAGCCAATATGTTAATAGTATATTCTGCAGGTAAAATAGAGTAATAAATCTTAATACAAGAATATATAGGCTACAATAGTTTAGAAGTTATAAACGATCAAAGATTGCCAATGATTTCGGATAGAACTGGCGCGTTCTGATCCGTAACTACACG